AAGCTGTTGGATGTTGAAAATTGATTTTTAAACCTGTTTTGCTGATTCTGGTTCAGTGGTAACTGGTTACCTTATATAGGCTAACCGGTTACTCAGTGCAAATTTCACGTTTCTGGTTTTTTTACAGCAAGTAACCGGTTACCTGATATTGAGTAACCGGTTACCACTGACTATAATGCTTTGTTTTTGCATTTTTCTTGCTTGTTTGGGCTCCTCTTCACATGTAAACCCCATGGATTGATATGATGCATTTATGTGATGTGTTTTGGACATATTTCATCATTCTTGAATGTTTGATCTCAATTCTTCGACGCGTGACTTTTGGTTTCTGTTTTGAATGTTCAACATGTTCATGTTGTTTTCTTGATGAATGATTATTTCACTTGTTTGTTTATAGCATATTAATTAATGATCATTGATAATTATGTTGCTGAATATTGTGATGCATGATTGCATTTTCTTCCGATTCCAATTTGTCGCGTGTTTGATTGATCACTTGATCATTTGATTAGAGTTGCAAAACATGTTGATCTTGATGATTCTTGTCGATGCATTGTTGTTGATCGATCATATTAAGTTTGTCGAAGCATGTCCGTTGTTGCATGATATCTACCCGTGATTGGTGTTTGTTCTTGATTAATTGCATTCTTACATGCTTGCTGCCCAACTTTTCACAACTGTTCTTTTTCTGAACATGTATGTTGTCTTTGCTTTACTTGCTTACTGCCTGGCTTTTCACACCTGTCTTTGTGCTGAAATATGTGTTGTTATAGGTTGTATTGCTTGTGTGTTAGGTTTTACTGTTGTCTTGTGCAGGAGGCGCTGTTGTAGCTGATGTTTTAGCCTTGTTTTCTTGTTTTTGCTTTTCCTTTGCATGCTCCCAATTTAATTTCCGATTAAATTTGGAGTAAGATAGACATTAGGAGGTTAATCCATGCATGATAACAAGTAGGCTAGCCCCTTCTAACCTCAACCTTAGATCCATATTTCGCATGCTAACATTAGGATAGAATCTCCTTTCGCATCCCGACTTTAGGACCACTTTGCATGACAATGTTAGGGCCGAGTTTTCCCTTAGACCTTCCGTACGTCTCTCTTCTCATCTCAAAACACATTCTAAATCATCTAATAAATACGATGAATATTGTACGTTACGAGCCTTAAGCACATGGGAAATGATGAGTGAGGGGTCTCCTCTCGCTTGTCCAAAGTGTTTAGGGTACGTCCCGTCTGGTGGCGATATGCGACGCATTCGTTTCTATGTCATAGTCTTTAGTGCAACGTGAATCACAAAGCAAACTAATTCACTTCACTAAAACTCACAAACAAAACTCAAACCTTTTTACTCTTCGGGATTTGTGTTCCAAATTCATTTTCAGAAAAGAGTACGTTACTTTTTTGTTCTACCACAAACAGGCATCGTCCCTAACTGCTGGAATGGGAACTTAACGCCGCTCATAAAAAACACTTAACCAACCTGTGGTTTAGTTTCCCGAACCATGTTTGCTATGATTTCTCATATCAGATGAGGATACGTAGGCACAAGACGACGATGTCTTGGCGAGCAACCTTCCCCCCATCACCCGTAGTTTTCCGAACTACGTTGACTCTGACTTTCCCATTGCAAGAGGGAATGCGTAGGTATAGGGCGGTGATGTCCTATCGAGTCTCCTTTTTTCTTTTCCATCCCCCGTTTAGCAGTAGCTTATAGATAAACACACCCTTTTATTAGACAACAAGCGTGGATCCCGTTGAGTACAACGGACGTGAGTGGTGCTAATACCTTCCCCTTGCGTAACCGACTCCCGAACCCAAGATTTGGTTGCGATGACCTTGTCTTTTCCTGTTCTTCAGGTTTTCTTTGATCGTTTCCTTTCCCTCTCTTTAGGATAAATAGCGTTCGGTGGTGACTCTTCTGTTTTTCTGCCGGGTATTTTTCGCAGTTGCAACAACAGGGTGCTTATAGGCAGAAGATATGAAATTGTGTAGCGGCAGTGGAGTTATACATGAGTTCAAAGATGGTGGTGAGTGAGTGTGGAATTAGGGGAGATGAAAGAACAAAGTTATTGAAGGGTGGTTGTGCAACAATGTAGGTTGTTGTTTTTATGGTTTAAAGAGGAAATTAAGGTGGAGAAAATATGAGAAATTAAGTGAGAGAGAGTTGTAACACCCCAAATTTATTGGATTGTTTATTTAATTTATTTAAATATGAATATTCGTATTTTTGGTGATTTTCGGTGGTTGGTGTGAATATTGAGAATTATGGAGTTTTGAGTTATTTATTTAAATAATAGTATATAATATGAATATATTTGGTATTATTGTTTATTTAAATAAATATAAGTTAATTTAAGGGCAAAGTGGACATTTGAGGAGGAGTTAGTGAGGGTGAAATTAGAAATCCCATTTTAAAGGCCCAAAGTTAGGTTTAACAAAAAGGGATTTTGAGAGAATTAGGATTCATTCTTGTTAGACCATGAAAAGGGAAGAAATAGAGGGCAGAGCTCTGAGAAAGAGGATTGAGGCAAAAGCTTTGCCAGGTTTCCAAGAATCAAGGAGAAAGTCTTAGATTCGGCAATTAAGGTATGAGGAGTATTGCCTTCATTGTTTTCAATATATGATTCAATGTATTTAAAGCAGATTTACAGATTTAGGAGGTTTTTGAGTTTGAGGAAATTAGGCATTCGCGGCCAAATCTATTTTTGAGGTTGTTTAAGTATGGGGAGTATTGACTTCATTATTTTCAATATATGATTCAATGTATTTAAAGCCGATTTAAGGGTTTAGGGATTTTGAGTATTGAATTGTTGTTGCCTTTTTGGTGAGTTTAATGAGTTTGAGGGATTTGAACTAATGGTCTGATAGGTTTGAGGTTGATTTGAGAGTAAGGGAAATTAGGCCTTCGTGGCCAAAAATATGTTGTTGAGGTTTTAATCGTATAGGGTAATTAATTATGAGAACTCTAATGAATGTGGGAAAATTGTAAGGATTTTATGGGAATTGGAGGCGTAAATATGATACGGGATTAGCCTAATAAGTCATAGATTTTGTGCCTTTATCGTCGTAATACCTTAGGAATGATTTAGGGATGTTTTTGGGGCATTGGGGAAGGAAATCGTAGGGTCTTTTGGGATGGTTTTGCTACTGGTGTGTAACAGCGTTTTGCTTAATCGTGAGTTCGCACAACGAACAATCCTTTGCACGGCGAACATTCGCCCCAGACTCGCACGGCGAACTGTCCAGCGAACGTAGCAGAGTACTGTAAATTGTGTTCTTGTGCAGTGCTGTCTTGATGCTTTGATGCTGTGATTTTCTGGATGAATTACCTTGATTATGACTGTGATTCATATGTGATTAATACATGATTGTATGATGATTCATATGAGTAATGTTGATGAGTTATGATGTTGATTCCATGAGTTTTTGATAATTATATGATGACATGATTATTATGATGATTTTGATGAATGATGATGCACTTAATGAGTTTATTATGAGGATGATATTGACGTGTGCATCATGCATTCATATGCATTCCGGACTTCGGTCTAGTGTTTGATTCTTGTGGCTTCAGTCCCATTGTGCGGATGTGAAGTATTTTGTTGTGCTCCAGTTCTTGTGTAGAATCGATCCTATTGATGAGGATCTATGGAGGGTTGATGGCCCAATGTCCATCTAACTTTGATGAATTGGTACTACATGCATGAGTCTTGTTGGATTTGCATTTATGTGACAATTTGGTGTAATTTATGATATTATGGCTTTTTGATGTTTCCTTGATGATTATGATGATGTTGAATACGAAAATGACACTGTTTTATATATTGATTCCTATATTGATTATTATGAATCGTTTTACTCACCCTGCCTGTTTGAATGTTGCCTCCACGTGGGTAACGTGCAGATGACCAGGTTTAGTCGTGGATGTCGTCAAGGACTTTTTGGAGTTTTTGACATTTTGGTTGACTTAAAGGGTCTTGCTCTGAGAGTGTAATATCGGGTTGGGGTCTTTGAGTTAAACCATGTTTTATTGGTTTTTGTTATTTTAATTATGTTGTTGCGCAAGGAAACCTTTGGATTTTTCCTTTTTGAGTTCCGCTGCCTTTTGAGCAATTTTTGAGTAATTTGGGAAAACCCGTTGTTTACGGAGCATTGACTTTTATTTGAGTTATTGAGAAATGTACGCCCTTTGAGGTGATTTTTATTGTGTTTAATATTTTACTCTGATAAATGTGATTGATTTGCCATTATATTTGTGGGGTAGAAAAGGGTATTACAGACAACCCATTTTGTCATGTGTACCCCAACTAGACAACATGTCATATGGGGGAATGTCGTTAATAGTACACATCAAGGCAACTCCCAAAGTAAAGTTTTGTTTATAGGATATATCATAAGTCCATTCTCCAATCCACAGCCTCTCCAAACCATTAATTAAAGGTTGTAAATACACATCACTTTCGGCTTTTTGACTCGACAACCCTAGAATGAGGCAAGTCAAAAACATGTATCATTTTGTCATGCGCATCTCAGGAGAGAGGTTGTAAGGGGTTACAATAATTGACCAACAAGAATATACACTTTTCGACGCTTGGACATATGGAGTAAAACCATTAGAGTTTAATCCAAGCCTCACATTTCTAGGTTCTGCAGCAAAATCAGGATGTATCCTATCAAAGTGCTTTCATGCCTCGCCATCAGATGGATGTCGCATAATATTAGAACTTGTTTTGTTTGTATGATGCCATGTCATTTGGCTTGCACCATGCAACCACTAATGCAACAATCAATCTTTCTTCTAAACTGAACTTCGACATCAACCTCTTTGCATCATAAGAACTTGTAGGCAGGTTTTCTTTCATAGGAGTCGCGTCCAACATCATTTTTGCGAAGAATTTCAAACACTGATCAGGAGCATTCCAATTTGACTTGGCGGCCAATAATTTCACACACATTGATAATTTTGAGTCTGACGACCCCTCAAACGACACTGTACTCATTTATTTCAACAAGTGATGAAAATTTTGTGTTTCCTCATTCGGCAACTTTTCCCCTTCAAAATCTTCAGATTCATCATAGGTCGCAATCACCCCAAAAGCATCGCCAACCATCTCACCAATCAGATTAAATTGTCCATCATATTCCATATGTGTTCGACTACTTGAAGCATGCATATTAGTTATCTCTGATACGTTACTCGACATTTCTTCTCCATCATATGTCCAAACCCAATAATTTTTAATGAAACTCCTTTTCTTCAAGTGACGTTCTACTTCCTCTGGATCAATAATTATAGGTCTACATTCACAATTAAGACAAAGACATCTTACTCCTGCTTCGCTTCGATAACATTCTTGAGCAAATGCCCACGTGATAAACCCTTTAACTGTTTCCTCAAATTTTGGTTTAAGTACACATCTTCCTAGATACAGTCTATTGTACATCCAACTACGATGGTACCGATAATATTTCATACGCACATTTATACAATCATTATCATTTTAATTAAAAATGTGATTTTAATATATGCGAAATAATATAATTTTCTTTCACATTGTTTTAAACGTAAGTGTATTTCATACTGTATATGTTTAGTCAAATTATACATTTCATAACTATATATACTTACTATAAATACTACATTTTATAACTATATTTAATATATTTACTTACTTTAATAAAAAATATTACTTAATATATCTTTACTTCTTGATAATATATTTTCTTACTAAATAATATTTACTTAAAAATAAATATATACATGCTTAATATATATTACTTAATAATATTTTTACTTACTTAATAATACTTTTACTAACTAAATATTATTTACTTTGAAAAAATAAATAATTTCTCAAATTATATTTATTATTTAAAAAATGTATACTTATTCAAATTTTATTTACTTACTTATCTTAAAAATATATATAGTTACTTAAATAAAATTATTACTTCATAAATTTATTTACTTACTTATGATATAATACTTACTTAAAATATTTTATTAAAAAAACTTATACTTACATAATATATAAAACTTATTTAAAAAAGATATTATTATTAAAAAAACAATTAATTAATAATATTCTTAATTACTTAATAATAGTTATTTTAAAAAATATATACTTACAC